CACCATTTTTTAAAATTATCAATTTTTTTATTTCCCTGTGAACAGTATTGAAATTTAATTCAAGATTATTTTAATAATTATTGTTTGTATCAAAATATTTTTCAAATAAGACTTGTTAAAAATTAAACAAGGAACAAATTTTGTTGGCACTATTTTTTAAAATTATCAATTTTTTAATTTCCCTGTGAATAATATAGAAATTAAATTCTAGGTTATCTTCCTAATTATTATTTGTATCAAAATTTTTTTCAAATAGAACTTGTTGAGAATTAAACAAGGAACAACGTTTATTGGCACAATTTTTTAAAATTATCAATTTTTTAATTTCCCTGTGAATAGTATAGAAATTTAATTTAACATTATTTTCCTAATTATTGTTTGTATCAAAATATTTTTCAAATAAAACTTGTTAAGAATTAAAGAAGGAACAACGTTTATTGGCACAATTTTTTAAAATTATCAATTTTTTTATTTCCCTGTGAACAGTATAGAAATGAAATTTAAGATCATTTTCGTAATTATTGTTTGTATCAAAATATTTTTCAAATAAAACTTGTTAAGAATTAAAAAAGTAACAACTTTTGTGGGCACCATTTTTTAAAATTATTAATGCTTTAATTTCCCTGTGAATAGTATAGAAACGGAATTTAAGATTATTTTCCTAATTATTGTTTATATCAAAATATTTTTCAAATAAAACTTGTTAAGAATTAAAAAAGGAACAACTTTTGTTGGCACGATTTTTTAAAATTATTAATTTTTTAATTTTCCTATGAACAGTATAGAAATGAAATTCAAGATTATTTTCCTAATTATTGTTTGTATCAAAATATTTTTCAAATAAAACTTGTTAAGAATTAAGAAAGGAACAACTTTCGTTGGCACCATTTTTTAAAATTATCATATTTTTAATTTCCCTGTGAACAGTATAGAAATGGAATTTAATCTTGAAAATATTTTAGATCGAAAGTTCCGAATGAACAACCCATGCTACCAAAATTTCGAATAAGAAAAAAGTTCTAATGAACCAGTTACATGAGACACCCTGTATGTTGTTAATATTCCGAAAATGAGGTTAGATTTATTCAAAAATTGATTTAAATTTAGTCAAATTAACATATTTTTATGTTAAACCGACCTTTTCATCGCCAATAGCTGAATCAAATCCAGCAGAAAAAATAACAAGATCTGGATTAAACTACAACAAAAAAGAATAATATTAAAAAAATAACTACCTCTGGACAACCAATGCAGGCGTCATAACCCGCTGAAAATAATACTAAATCCGGATTAAACTAAAACGAATTATTTTAAATGATCCATCTCAAAGTCTCTCACAAAATTGTTATTAAAATTACCTCATACGCTATGGGAAGTAAAATATTAAATATCACAGCAAAATAATCCTTATCTTCTAAGCCTGTACAATTGAGTGGAACATTCACATTATATCCTTTACCTTTTCCACCTCCAATAAAATCAAAATTACTCTCACGCAAATTGGGCCAAAATGTTCCATGTTCGTACCGATGCAGGGAGAAATATAAAACACTATCATCATCATAAAACATTTGTTGGGTCGCTTGCCCATGGTGAACATCAAAATCCACAATTAAAATCTTCTCAGCCCAACCATTTTTCAAGGCTACCTTTGCACCTATTGCTACATTATTAAAGTAACAATAACCACAGTATTCATCAAACATTGCATGATGTCCTGGAGGTCTTACAAGTGCAAAAGCATTTTGGGTTTCCCCTGTACAAACTGATTTAACTGCATTCATTACTGAACCTGCTGCAATACAAGCTGCTTCAAAAGTATTCTGTAATTAAAAAATAAGTATGAGAAAAATATAACATAATAGTATATAATAATAATAATAATACATCATTAAAGTATATTGCATCATATTTGGAAGCTTCTTTTTGCATATCTTCTTCTACCAACCCCATTATTTTATTTAATTTTTCGTAAGTATTTTTTGAATGAACTACTTCAACCAGATCATTTGTAATCATTTCTGATGGGATTTGTTGGCATCTATTTATTAGGTCCAACTCAACAAAACTAAAAATTAAAAGAATCAATACAAAAATTAAAAAAATACAACATAAACATACCGATCGAAGATTCTGATATATCTTAAAGGATTTTCAGGATAATGCTCATCCCAAGGACACTCATGAAGAGCCATATTATCGTCATATGTTAAGCCTGTTCTTTTTCGAACGAGACCACTAATCTTATCACATTTTTCAAAGGGATCTTCAACTGTAACAACTTCAAGTTTCTTTGCCAAACGCATTCTTGCTTTCATCTGCCCAATTGACTCCTTTATAATTAAAAAGAATCTTAATAAATTGTAATCATATATAAATAAAGTTTAGTAAATGACCTTTTTTCGGGCTCCTTCCATTTTTTTTTTTTTGTTTTGTAAAGATAACCTAAAAGATTATCACTTTCATAATTTTTTAAACATCTATGTTTAATTAAGAAATACTAAAGATAAGATGCTTATTTACTTATACTTATTTTCTTGTGTAATGTTAACAGGTGATGGTTATAAAACTTATTTTTCGGAGTTGTTATAAATCAATTTGACATTTGACAAGTTGTTGATATTTAAGGTTAGATTTTTCATAGACATTATAAAAAATAGATTATTAATATTTGTTTCTTCAAATCTTGGGTATTAAAATCTTTTAAGCTCATTATATTCTTATTTTTATTTAATTATATTTGAAATTATCAAAAATGTGTATATTAAGAAGTATTTACCACACTGCCCATTAGATGACACTATTTTTTTCAAATGTATTTTTGATTTTTTTTTGAGACTATTGTTAAAACTCTTCTGGCAAATTTAATAAAGATTAATTAACTAATAAAGATAATTTAGTACAGGCTATCATATAACAACTTTTATTGGCACCATTTTTTAAAATTATCAATTTTTTAATTTAATTTGATATTATTTTCCTAATTATTGTTTGCATCAAAATATTTTTCAAATAAAACTTGTTAATAATTAAATAAGGAACAATGTTTGGGGCACCATTTTTTAAAATTATTAATTTTTTAATTTCATTGTGAATAATATAGAAATGGAATTTAAGATTATCTTCCTAATTATTATTTGTATCAAAATATTTTTCGAATAAAACTTGTTAAGAATTAAAAAAGGAACAACTTTTCTTAGCACCATTTTTGAAAATTATCAATTTTTTGATTTTCCTCTGAATAGTATAGAAATTAAATTCTAGTTTATTTTTCTAATTATTGTTTGTATCAAAATTTTTTTCAAATAAAATTTGTTAAGAATNCTAGAAACATTCGGGTTTAGCCGCACGTCTCTAAAGACGGCTAAACCCGAATGATTCTAGTTCTAGGTCTAGTGTTAGTTCTAGTTATAGTTCAATAAAATTATGCAACATAGTGATGTATTATGCTAACTAGCGCTACTTACCACTGTCACTAGAACTAACATTAGAACTAGAAACATTCGGGTTTAGCCGCACGTCTCTCAAGACGGCTAAACCCGAATGATTCTAGTTCTAGGTCTTGTGTTAGTTCTAGTAATTATGCTAGCGTAAAACTAGAACTAACACTAGACCTAGAACTAGAAACATTCGGGTTTAGCCGCACGTCTCTAAAGACGGCTAAACCCGAATGGTTCTATTTCTAGGTCTTGTGTTAGTTCTAGTTTAATAAAAATATGCAACATAGTGATATAACTAGCGCTACCTACCACTGTCACTAGAACTAGAAACATTCAGACATGTTGCATTTTATGTGGGACAAAGTAAGTAGGTGCTCTGGTTTCTATGGAAATATATTTTTGTATATTGCATTTTAAGTGAAGTTCACTGTACGCTTAATTTATTTACCTTTTGTATTCAATAAATATTATTTATTTATACAATACTTTATATTTTTTATGCGTAGGATATATTAATATAAAAAACGATAATTTTTTCCGCGCATGTACGACAAGTATACATTGGAATGAGGAACTCAACATTTTTATATGCGCGAACTAACACTAGCGAATAAAAAAACTTAACTCGCATTATTAATAAAAACTTTTTATTAACACGTTTAGTACAAAATACAAAAAAAATGTCTTTTGAATACAATCAACAGTTTAAACGACTCAACATTTAAAAAAAATATGTATAGTACACGTATTAAAAAGAATTTAAGTATTAGGAATGTTAACATTATAAATGTTAAAAAATATTTTTTAGTCATCATTAACGCCAATCTTCTGAAGCATCTCAATATCAGGGCTATCAATAACTATTAAACCCTCTGGTCCCAAAAGAGTTAAACTTTCCACACCCTCCGGTAATTCCTTTCTAACTTGCAGAATAGGCCAAAAACGCTTTTGGACGTTTATAACCTTTTCCAAGGTTTCTAACGCGCTTTTCCGAATTTTTCCAATTTCCAATGACGGCAAAGGGTCTCCTAGCAAAGCTTTGATACACATCGTCATTGAGTATGCAACTGTATTTACGTTGTATCCCCCTTCCAAAGACAAAATCATTTTTCCTCTTGCTAAAGGTTTTAATAGTTGGATGAAATGACCGAAAGCTTCTGGAGTTACGCGATAATGACCGATCGGATCGTCGAGACCAGCGTCGAATCCGGCGGAGACTAATATTACTTCCGGTCCGAATGAATAAGATATTGGGAGTATTATATGATTGAATATTGTTATGTATTCGGTATCCGTCATAAAATCTGAAGGGTTTTCCTGAAACATTAAAAAAGATAATTTAAGAATATCTTATTAGAAATTTTTTACCTTATTAAATGGAATGTTAACATTATATCCAACTCCACGTCCTTCGCCATGCATATTAAAATTCCCATCAGATCCATTAGGAAAAAAGTTGCCATTATTATATTGATGAACGCTGATATATAAAACTTCTTTAGAATTATAAAAAGCTTTTTGAGTTCCGTTTCCATGATGAACATCAAAATCCAAAATTAATATCCGTTTTGTTTTGTATTTTGTTAAAATGTATTTAGCCGCTAATGCGATGTTATTGATGAAACAAAAACCCATTGGTTGGTGTTTTTCAGCGTGATGACCTGGTGGGCGAATCATAGCCACACCCGCTCTTGATTTATTTGTCATAACTTGGTCGACGACGTTTAATAAACACCCGGCGGATGTTAAAATTGGCGGTAAACTTTCTGGGGTGAAATAAACGTCTCTAGTGGCGGTATATAATTTGGAATTAATTAATGAATCGATATATTCTTTATCGTGAATTAAAAGCAGTTCATCTTCCGTTGCTTTACGAGTAGAAACTTTAATTAATCGTTCGTGCAATTTTAGCTCGGTAAATTTTTCATATAATTTTATCAATCTTTCGGGTCGTTCTGGAAAATTTTCGGGCGTTTTATGTTCAAACATGACTTCATCGAAAGCGTAACAAATTCCATTTCCTGTTGGCTCAGAATATTCCTTTCTATATTCATCCACAACTTCTGCGAATTGTTCGTTTATAAATTCGCATTGTACTGGATAACAATCGTGTGTTAAAAAGGGTGCGGTGAGTCGAACACCTAAATATTTCACCATAACTCTATGTGGATCATTTACACATTCATTTCTTTGAGGAAATGACTCAAAACATTTCCAAAACGGTTGCAATATAAATCGTAAATTATTGATAACGTCGATTATATGTTCTTCTGGCTTTCCAAATGGTTTTACCATCCCTGGTGCATCATCCAACAAACTTTTTACGGACATAGCTGCTCCTTCTGCTAATGATTCCAAAAAATAACCACCTTCTAAACATACAACTTGACGTCCTTGCGCTAAACCGCCTAACAATGTTATTAATTGGCCGTAAAATCCGGGAGATATTTTCATTTCGCCCTGAAATCAGCGGAAAACTAAACATTCAATAAATATTTTTTTTCTTATTAATTTTTAAAATTAATTTGTAGCTATAATCCAAATTAAGTTAACTTTCGATTATATTAATTAATTAATTATATTAACTTTCGATCTAAAATATTTTTAAGGTGGCTGCCACTTCCGATCTACCGGAAGTATGCTATAGTTTTTAATACACCTTTTAATTGTACGTAAAAAAATATGTTGATTTTCATAAAAGTTATTTTGGTTAATTTCTCTTTAAACCCCCATACGTATTAAAAGGTGCAATAAAATCTATTTAAAATAACGAAGTTATGGTTTATTTCCGGTAGACCGGAAGTAGTTTTTAAAATTATCAATTTTTTAATTTCCCTGTGATCAGTATAGAAATGGAATTTAAGATTATCTTCCTAATTATTAATTATATGTATTGAGAAAACAATATTTCCTTTGAAAGATATTTTATTTTTAATTATCGGTGCTACAAATTTGTTTCGGTTATTAAGCCGTCATCAGGCACCACGTCTAATTGTCAATAATAAGTTTTGATACCTTAAATGGAGAACAGTGTCTAATTTTACTGCATTTTTAACTATTTTTGGCGAGTTTTATGTAATTTTAACTTTTTACTTTTCAATTAGTAGTGTGTTTAATGTAGTGTATCTCTGTGATTTATTTATTTACCAAAAGAACGCGTAATTATTTGTTAAAAAAGCGAAATTGTTGGTTCGTCTTGATATGTCTTATCCACCTACATTATCAAAACTTATTATTGACAATTAGACGTGGTGCCTGATGACGGTTNATTTTTTAATTTCCCTCTGAATAGTATAGAAATTAAATTCTAGGTTATCTTCCTAATTATTGTTTGTATCAAAATGTTTTTCAAATAAAACTTGTTAAGAATTAAAAAAGGAACAACTTTTGTTGAGACCATTTTTTCAAATTATTAATTTTTTAATTTCATTGTGAATAATATAGAAATGGAATTTAAGATTATCTTCCTAATTATTATTTGTATCAAAATATTTTTCGAATAAAACTTGTTAAGAATTAAAAAAGGAACAACTTTTCTTAGCACCATTTTTGAAAATTATCAATTTTTTGATTTTCCTCTGAATAGTATAGAAATTAAATTCTAGTTTATTTTTCTAATTATTGTTTGTATCAAAATTTTTTTCAAATAAAATTTGTTAAGAATTAAGGAAGGAACAACGTTTGTGGCTCCATTTTTTAAAATTATCAACTTTTTAATTTCCCTGTGAACAGTATAGAAATTAAAATTATTTTCCTAATTATTGCTTATATCAAAATATTTTTCAAATAAAACTTGTTTATAATTTAAAAAGGAACAACGTTTGTTGGCACCATTTTTTAAAATTATCAATTTTTTAATTTCCCTGTGAACAGTATAGAAATTAAGATTATCTTGGGATGAAATTCTCCATATTTCTCAAGAATTAAATAATAAAAATGGAAAAAGTAAAAACTTTTTGTGAGAAATAACAAAATACTTAATTTATTTCAATAAGTAGACATGTTTCGAAACAAATGTTTCATCTTCAGTACTTAAAAATAATAACAAAATGATGTAAAATTTTTTTTTTTTAAATATGTTGGGAATATGTCTGAATTCTAGTTATTTTTCTTAAAAACAAAATACTTCTAGAAAACTTTTTACAAAATCAAAGTAAATCCTTAAATTTCTTGGAAACTAACTTATGTATTAGATAAGTAGTATAGACTGAAGATGAAACATTTGTTTCGAAACATGTCTATTTATTGAAATAAATTAAGTATTTTGTTATTTCTCACAAAAGTTTTTACTTTTTCCATTTTTATTAAGATTATCTTCCTAATTATTGTTTGTATCAAAATTTTTTTTCAAATAAAACTTGTTAAGAATTAAAAAAGGAACAACTTTTGTTGGCACCATTTTTTAAAATTATCAATTTTTTAATTTCCCTCTGAATAGTATAGAAATTAAATTCTAGGTTATCTTCCTAATTATTGGTTGTATCAAAATTTTTTTCAAATAAAACTTGTTAAGAATTAAAAAAGGAACAACTTTTGTTGACACCATTTTTTAAATTTATTAATTTTTTTATTTCCCTATGAACAGTATAGAAATAGTATTTAAGATTATTTCTTAAAATTCTCTCTGGTTTTAAAACTCCCGCCACAAAGTGACTTTAATTTTACTCGTCCGAATTAAAAAATAGAATATATATAAAAAATTCAATACATTTATTTCAAAAAATATATGCAGAACATGTTGACAATAAAATGAGAAATCAAATTAACATTTAATTATTTATTGTGCCATCTAGTGAATAATAGATGTAGTTTAAAACATAATATTGCAGTATCCCATTTAAATTGTTAATATTTATTATAATTGTTACCTCAATCTATACATATTAAGTTCATGGATTTATTTATTTACTTCTTATTGGTGCTTATTGTGCAATATGGTGCATGCGCAGATGTATCGAAATTGTTTTGTTTACATTGTGGTTAACTGAGTTTATATTGGTGATAATTATGATAAGAATTGATCAAAATCCTTATTAAATTGATGATAACATGCGGTATACTTAAGTAAGGTTTTGCTTAATAACCAATAGGATTTTCGAGAATTTAATCGATTTGTCATGTTAAATATTTTCGTATGCAGTCATGTACTATGTGAAGTGAATCATTGAGTTACGCCAAGTTACGCCCAAAGTGCAGATACGTTTTTTAAAAATAGTCGTTCGGTGGCTTTAACCGCCACCTCAACATTCGCTACAATTCCGCTACGTCAGCTGTTTAAAGGTAAAAACATCAAGTAAATTAAATGATTCGTTTCAAGATTAACAAGCGACGATTGCGTTTTTATCGAAATCTAAAATAAGCGACATCCCAAAATACTTCAATTACTTTTCAGTACTTCTCTGTCAATATAAATAGTCACGTCCCATATAAGAACCTTGTTTATTTCATACACTTTTTTTTGCAGATCAATAACCCTTAAATATGGCTTACCAAGATAATGGACAATATCCTACTCATCAAAATCCAGGTTTAATTTAAATTATTAAAATAATATTATTAGTTATTAATAATTAAAATTTATTAATTTAGGTTATCCACCTGCTCCACCTCAAGGAACAGCCCCACCAGGATATGATTATAATCCAGGTTATCCACCATCTCAAGGTGGTTATCCTCCTCCTCAAGGAGGTTATCCAGGAGGTTATCCTCCTCCTCAAGGCGGTTATCCACTTCCACAAGGGGGGTATCCACCACCACAAGGAGGGTTTCCACCTCAAGGGGGTTATCCACCACCAGGACCTGGAGGTTATCCACCACCAGGTGCACCAATAATGAATCAACCAATGGGAGGAATGGCACCAACTGGTAAGTATTTTTTTGATAAGTAGAATGGAGAAAACAAATTAAAACTGATAAGAGGGATTTGATAAGATGTCTGTTAACAAAGTTTAAGCGAACAATTAAATCTATTATCCACACCAGCCAGTTGCTTGACAACCGTAAACATTACTATTGATAACACTTTAAATTTGTAATTACTTCTTAATAATAACAGTAAGAGATGGATGGTAGAAAGTTGTCGGCGAGAGTTTATAGACATGTTTTGGAAGGATTTATAAAAGTTTTCAAAATTAAAAGGTCCCCTAAGAAAAAGGGGTATCATAAATTAATTACAGAGGAGGAGCAAAGGTCCTTTTTTATCTTTTTCTTCTGTAAATAAATAAATAAATAATCCTTTGTTTTAATTTTTAGGTGGTTGGATGAATATGCCTCAAGGACCTCCCAATTGCCCACCAGGATTGGAATACCTTACATTGATTGATCAATTAATAGTCAAACAAAAAATCGAAATTTTAGAAGGTTAAAAATTTTTTTTTTAATTTAGTATAATTCAAGAATCATCATGTGGCATGATAGTGTAAAACGAAAAATAAGTTTAAAGTTTCCACGTGACGTCACTTTCGGAATCTTATTTCATAAAAATGAAATTAATAAAAAAGCTGATAAGATATGTCAACTTATTTGGATCTAAGATACAAAAAGAAACTTTTTGATGCTGATTTAACTAACGAAGCAACTCTAAAAAGAGGATACTTTAATTAATAATTGGCGATATTTCCACAAGGACCCTTTTTTTTGAAAATTTTATCAAAACTTCAAATATTGTTTTCTCAAAAACTAAAAGCTATTTTTCAAAATGGGTTGGTTCATTGGAAAGAGGACACTTTTATTAACACTTTGGGAAATTTTCATACTCATATTCCAAGAAATGGATTTTGTACGAATTTAAATTTTAAAAATCGGCGGAAATTGCAAAATTCGAAAAATTGTCGATCATTTCAAAAATTTATTTCTCAAGAACTAAAAGTGATTTTTCAAAACGGCTTTTTGCATTAAAAAGAGGATACTTTAATTAACACTTTGGGAAATTTTTGAAATAAT